TTATTAATTAAAATGCAGAAAGCAAGAAATAGGGATATGTTATTTTACTAAATGTCAAAAGCAAGTTCCTTTTTTCAAATCACGTTCAGGCTATCTCTGCACTGGGGTTATTGGCAATGTATTGTATTTTGGGAAATTGCTAAGTGTGGGTCTAATCTACTTTTATGCACCACACAAAGTAACCCGTGAAAGCAGTATATATGGGAGCTTGTTTAAATGTAATAATATTGCCATGTATATAAAAACATGTTATATATCTTAAGTACATACAATTTAAAAATCTATTTCTAGAAATTAATGTGAACCATGCAAAAAGAGAAATTAGTAAATTATAATACAAATGTTATATTCTGCTATAAAAGGAAATTTTAATATTAATCTATGAGGAGTTCTCATATTGGGAAAAGCATTCCTGGGATGAAAATGTTTCTATCTTAAGACATCCTTTGAAAACAAAGATATCATTGTTTTTTCCCATCAAAACAAAATCTGTTTTCTAGAGTAAATATCATTTAAGTATTCTTATTATGGAGCCAGTAAAAAGTTTTTATGAAAGTGATTTTAAGATGCAAAAGCTTGAGCGCAGTCAATATCCAGTCAGTAATCCATCTTATTAGTGAGGTCAGAAAGCGAGGAGGGAAGCGCTGGCTTGTTTACAGGTCAGCTAGGGAGCGACTGAGTGGCAGCAGGAGCAGCTTTCCGCACATGCAATAGCTTCATTCAGAGACATGCTTTGGTCACAATCATAATTTGGTAATTAATTCAGAAATTAATAATAGTTTATGAAAATCAGCTTAATAAAAGGAAAAAAGAAAAATTACTCAGTTTGCTACAAAAAATATCTTCATGTTTTCCTTCTGTTTACAGCTGGTAGCTAGGAAAAGTCCTGGACACAGTGGGCAGAGAATTGTCAGATGAGCAGGTCTTCTTCATGAAGGCCTGCAGCTTTAGTCTGCCTACCAGCCTCTCTCATAGCCAAAGACTGCCAAACTCACGTTAAAGCCACAGTTCCCATGCCCAGGTCTTGCTCTGTCTTGTCCTTCTGCCATATGATGAAAAGTAGCAAGAAGGATGTTATGAAACGTGAGTGCCTTTACCTCGGGTCTCCAGCCTTCAGACATTTAAATACCTTTCTGTTCTTTCCATATTATTCCAGCTCAAGTATTCTGTTACAGTATACACTGGCTAAACCAGATACACAAAACCACTTTATCACCATGGCATTTCACACTACTGTGATTATGAATCCTGCTTGTTTCTGTGATGGGCTCTGAATCATCACTGCAGGTCTGTGAGGCATTTCTAGACTGACTGGGTCAACTGGAGTAGAACCTGACATGGGGCCATGGCTCTGTAGCATTCCCTTCCCTCTCTTCCTAACTGTGGGGAATGTGACCGGCTGCCCAAAATCCCGCAGCACTCCCTCCATTCGGTGCGTAACTGCAAACCAGGAGCAAAAATAAACCCTCCCTTCCTTAAACTGATTTTTTGGGTTTCTTTTTCTAGAAACAGAAAAGTAACTAATAACAAATTGGCACAAGTAGCAGTGCCATTGCTGTGATGAACCTGAGCATGTGGCTCACAGGGTTTGGAACAGTTTTGTAGGAAGAATGTGGAACTTGGGGTAGACCAGCCCTTGAAGGATGTAAGCAGAGACTACCAGGCCATTCTGGTCAGACACTGGAAGATAGGAGTGCTAAAAAGATGTGTACATGGAGGATCAACTCATGAAATTTCAGAAAGAAGCAAGGGCTGTGCTGGGGTTTGGGCTAGTGTCTATTCATGTTGACAGCAAGAGTCTGGCCACATTCTGCCTGTTTCCCGAAAACCTGAGTGCGACTGGATACAGAAGAAACGGACTAATTTGTATGGTGGAGGAAAGACCAAGGCAGGGTAGCATTCTGGCTGTGAGCCGCTCTTCCCTTGTCTAGTGAAGATGAACGACACAGACAATATGTGGTGTGCTAAGGAAAAGAGCATCGACCAGTTTCCTATCACAGAGGAGGCAGGCTCAAAACAGCGGAAATTGCTTCAGATATCAATGACATAAAGAGAAACCTGGACTCTACACTGGGGCAATGGGAATATTTTAAGGGTAAAACCTAATCTATCAAGATTCCTTGAGAAAATGCAAGTTTATTTGAAAGTAGAGAGACTAAACTGAGAATATCAACAAAGGGATTCTAAGCTCTAAAGGAACTACCTAGGCATTTGCTTTCCTAGGGTCAGCACACAGATGCTGATATCACTGGGATCCAAGGGAGCCAGGCTCCACACACAAATGCCTTCTGAACTTGGCAACTTTGCTCACTTGGTATGGTTTTGTAGGTATAGAAGATGGAGGCATAGGGGTGTCAGGATGGTCTCACACCAGAGTTCTAGAGAGCCGCTGAAGAGAGGCCACTTTATAAACTAAGAAAGGATAAAATGCAGTGGATAGCCCAGGATCTGGAAGATGCCAAGAGCTTGAGAAATTCACTGAAGAAGTCTGAAGGTCAGTATTGCAGTTGGTCCAATGCTCTGTGTGCTCCAGGTTACAGAGCTGGAGGGAAGGGGCTACTCAAATCTTTACTCAGATGATTCTATCATGAGCCCCAGATGCAGGACTTGAAGCTGCAGCATTTAGTGTCTGCATCAGCCAGGTCATTACTATCCCAGCAGACTTCCTTTATGGAATGGGTTGGATATTCTGTATCATTGTATATTGGAAGTACATTAGTTAAGAGATTGCCTGGATTGTGAGATGAGAGTTGGACTTTGGGGTTTTAAAATTGCATGGGGCTGCTAAGTTTTTATGGATTTTTGAAGCTGTACTGAATGTACTTTGGATTATGGGACAGCCATGGGCCTATGGAGTCAAAAGGTGGAAGGTTATGTTTATAAATTGACATGTTTGGGTGTCAAGATGACAAAATCTGGAGATGAAATGGTTCATATTGATTTCTCCATTGATGGTACCTAGAATCCCATGAAAATAACTTCTGAACATGTCTGTGAGAATTCTCTATACTGGGTAGCTTTTCTAGAATGGAACCATGCAATGGGCTGTGATCCCAGAGTGAACTATTAAAAACAAACAAAACAACAACAACAACAACAAAACAAGTAACAGAATTCTGTTGTCAAATATTTGTACACTGTGTGAAGGTGTACTGCTGTGATTGGTGTAGTAAAAAAGCAGAATAGCCAATAGGCAGGAGGGATATGTGGGACTTCCTGCAGAGTGAGGAAGGAGGAAGAGGAGGAATCTAGAGGTGTGAGGAGAGAAAACAGGAGATGCAAGACGAAAGAAAGGTAAAAAGCCACATGGTAAAACATAGATCAATAAAGGCAGGCTAATTACATTATGAGAGCTAGTGGGGCAAGCCTAAGCTAAAGACGAGCTTTCATAATTCATAAGGCATCTCCGTGTCATTATTTGTGAACCAGCGCCCAAAGAAAAATCTAACTCCAGCATTCCTTCCATTCTGTTTTCTTGCAATGCATGGAATGTGATCAGCCTCAAATACCCGCCATCCAGAATTTCCTGTACCCTCAAACTGTAAGGGAAATAAACCGCTCCTTTCTTAAGGTGCAGGTCCTTTTCTGCCACTAATCTCTCATGAGCCACAGATAAATACTATGACCATCCTGGCTGTGAACCTTGGCAGCTGTCAGAAAAGAAACTTTGTAGGAACTTTGGATTTGACTCTAAAGCTGATTTCTAAAGGTTCCAAATAGAATTAAATTAGATACACAAGGTTCAATTGGTTAAAACCTTCAGATGCACAGGGCGGTAGTGGTGCACACATTTAATCCCGGCACTCGGGAGGCAGAGGCAGGTGGATCTCTGTGAGTTCGATACCAGCCTGGTCTACAAAGCTAGTGCCAGGACAGGCCCCAAAGCTACACAGAAAAACCCTGTCTCAAAATAAAAATTAAAATAAAATAAAAAATAAAAAAAACTATTCTAAATACAAAATAATAGATAAATACAGTAGCCTATTCTAAATACAAAATTAGATTACATTGCTGTTTTTCTAGACACTTTGCCACTTTGGACAATATTTTTAGTAATACCAGCATTTGAAAAGAAGTTTTACATAACAACAGCAAATAAAATATCTAAGTCTAGAGAAAACAGACATACAGTCCCAAGTTTGGCTTCATGACCTTTCAAGTTTACTATGGAGAAAAGCAAGGTACTTTAAGTAAAAGTGATCTTTCAATGTGTGAGTTTTTCCTAGCTGGTGATAAATGATGCAGTACTCTTCCTCAGTCCTGGACAGGGCAGGGACTCAGAGCTTCCTGCCGCACATGCTAACAGGACGGTTCACTCCAGCGTGTTTTCAGACACAGTTCTGACAGCTCCTGATGATCCCATTGAGCATCATCTGTAGAGTAATTCACCCTTGGGTTTCCACACATTGTTTTGTGACTGGACGTCGGGGTTTCATTTTATGTTTGCAGAAAACAGAATCTATTAATGTTCCTTGTCACATTCACACTCCACATAATCACACACTTAACTGTCTCTCAGACTCGCCGGACTATGAACTCTTTGAAGACATGATAAAAAAAGCAAGTTAGGTATTCTTTATGTAAAAGGCTTGGGATCGGCAGTGTTTTATATTTTGGACCTATTGGGGGCTACAATATCTGTACATACTACTGAGATACCTTACAGACATGAACTATCCTAACACCATATTCTTTGGACAGCTTCACACAAAGTCCAATGGTAAATTTAGCTAACATTTTAAGAATATTATGATAAGCTTATGCTTTGAATGTGACCTGGGACATGAGATTATTTGTAGGGCATTCCAGGTCTGTTTCAAGATGGAATTTTCATACTAGGGATATCTAGTTCTCCATTGACAGCCATAGAGTGTACATTGCTCTCCCTTGATCAATAATGCTAATTTCCTTATAAGAGAAACACTAATGGTTCAAGTTACTCCTAAAGAATTTGTTCAAATGATGTGACCTGAGACTGGGGGCACAAAGGGCATCCTTACCTGGGAAAGCTTATGTTTCTCTCTGTCTCCTCCCTTTTCACTGTGTAATGTGTAAACTGGTGTATACTGTACCAAACCAGAACAGGTCCCATAATCTTCCTCATTGTCCTATACATGAAAAAAAGCAAAATTATTTTGCAATAATCCACTCTTAACTAAGGTTATTTGATTAATAAAGTATCTGTTAAACATGCAAAGAAAAAATAAAACTTTAGTTATAATTTTAAAGACTCTTCTAAAGAAGAAATAATGATTTTCTATAGTATGACTTAATAACTTAAAAAATAATCCATACTTTGACTTGAAATGAAATTTATAAAGATAAATGTTTACCATTACTACAATGGAAGATTTTAAGTAGTTTGTTCTCAACTCAAAACACAGTTGTTAATAAAACTGCAAGCATGTAATGTGTAACCAAAGCAAACACACAAATATGGAAATAGAAACATTTGCATGATACCTTTAATACTCATGGGTTCAAAATCCAATTATTGTATGTGACCTTTTATATATTAGGAACATTCTTCAATGTAGTAACTACCATTGGAATGAACCTATAAAACCAAAGGGTGGCATTTCTTGATTAATTCCAACCCAAAGATACTTTCTTAAAAATAGTCAGCTTGAAGAAAGATCTTCAGTAGTACTTTAAAGGCAATCACTTTTATGATACCTGTTAAAAGTATCTTTGAAGATCTCCACATTCTGTGATAAAATATGCAAACAATAAAGGGATTATTCAGTGGATTTATATAAAATATCAAAGAGTTAGTTGCCAGAAGGCTTGTTATAAAAATACATTCTTGAACAAAGAGAAAAGCATATTTCTAAATATGCTTTTAAAACATAAATAAGCCATTAAAACATAAATCTCACACGGTTTGTAGAGTAGGGACTGCAAAGTCATAAAATCAGGGGGAAGTAAACAGCCCGAGAAGATGACACACCTTGTGTTTCAGCTTACTCTTCACCTCTCGTAGTCCCAGTCTGGCGTGACTCTTTGCCTAGAAAATGAGAGTAAGTGCATTTAGCTTCACGTGCTTCTATTACTGTTTACTAGATAAATATAAATATATTTACTAGTATATCTCAAATATATCTAGTTTTTATTTTTTACTTATTTGCTATCTCAAATAAGCATTGTTAACTATCCATATTTGTTAGAAAAGAAGTAAATTATACCCCAACATTATTTCCAAGGATGCCATCTAGTTACTATTTTATTAAGCCTAAATTGTTGATAAAAACAGGCCAATATGTATTGTGTTGCATACAAACACACAAAGGTTAACATTCAGCCTAGAATCAATTGGGTAGCTAGTGTCCGTTATTAATTTAAAATTATCACCAATGAGAAAGAAAGACAAAGGAAATCACAGCATCAAATTATTTGGGCAAATATTTACATATCAAGGAATTCAAGCAATTTTAGAGAGGATTACTAAAGTGCTGTGTCAGACAGAGATTTACTAGCACAGGCATCAAACTGGCATGGGCTTGTGGCTAGTTCACACAGATATTCACCAAAGTCATTGAAAATTTTCACACTATCCTCACATATCTCTGGGATTTGGCCTTACGACTGAAGGTCTCCAGTCTGGCTGCAAATTAGGGGGTGCAACTTAAAATAACTGGGACTTTGTTGGCGGAGACTTTGTTGTACCAGAGATTTCTACTCACAGTGTTGGTTGTAAACAGAGGGAGGGAGGCCTCATTTGTTTTGTGTTTCCTGACTGTGCTGGCTGCTCAGATACAGGGCACTGCTTATTGTCACAACCTCAAGACTACGCTGCTATCAAGACACATTATAAAGAAGGACAGTGACCGAGGAAGACTAAGTCTATATAGCCTAGATTCGAGTCTGGGCTATATTTAGTTATGAACTCTAACTCCTCCCCTTTTCAAAGACGAAGGAGCAAATAATGTTTTTAAAATACACAAGTATTTTAAGCATTACCAAAAAGAGGGCAGCATAAGTCTTATCTACAGACACACAGTCTGGATGTCAGCTCCAAAGCCTTTGCCCCCACTAACCTGTGTAGCTTGCTAAGCTGTTTTTAAGGGAAGTTAAAACATGACTCTCAAGTTCCCCATTAACAAGTGTGAAGCCCAGAAGACCAATGAAATACAGATAAACACTCAAGCAAAGTTCTGAAATGAATGCAACAATTATTTTTGTATTATTTAAAACAAACTGAAATACATTACAGTAAAGATAATTTCAGGGGGCTGGAGAAATGGCTCAGTGGTTAAGAGCACTGACTGCTCTTCCAGAGGTCCTGAGTTCAATTCCCAGCACCCACATGGTGGCTCGCAGCCATCTATAATGAGACCCGGCGCCCCCTTCTGGCCTGCAGGCACACATGGAAGGAATGCTGTACATATAATAAATAAATAAATCTTAAAAAAAAAAAAACCTTTAAAAAAAAAAAGATAATTTCAGAAGCCATTAACACTGAAATATATCCTCCGGGTTTTTATAATTTTTTAGAGTCAATAAAGACATTTAATTCTTTATTTAATTGGTAAAACAACTAAACCAAAGGCTTCTATTTTCATCCCTATGATGTGATTGGTTAAAGTATGTAATTATTAAGGAAAAATGCTTTTCTTTTCTCTTAGAATCTGAGGCCAGAGTTGCTTTGTTCATACTATTCTCTAGTTGGCACGAGTATTTCCTAACCTATCTGTCACACTGTTTTCAGATTGTCCCTAGTATATAAAATTGAACCTACTGTTGGTCTCTTACACAGTTTCCAAATTTGTCCACCAGTTAATTCTAAAATCAGCCTGGAAGATGGAACAATGTTTGCATCTCCCTTGCAGCTTACACAAAGTTGTGTGTTTAACAAAATGATCTAACAAAAAAGATACTAAGATCATTTAGCCAGATCAAGCATTTCATCTGGTGGCGCTTCTTTTGTTTATGACTGTGTGTCTGTTGCCTCTTAGTTTTGTTTATGGTTCCTATTTGCATGAAAAAGAACAAATTTGGTGAGCTTAGAAAATTTCTCAGCCAGATATAATATAGAAAACCTTATAACTGCAACAAAAATCATATCCACTTTAATGAAATCACAGACAGTAACAGTTGGGCTGTGATGTAACACCATTCCGAGTGTCTCTCTCCCAGTACCTTTCATGTTCTCTACTCTAACTCAAGGTGAGCACAAGTCCAAACTCAAAATGGTTGTCTTAGGGTCTCTATTACTGTGGTAAAACACCATGACCAAAAGCAACTTAGAGAGGAGAGGGTATATTTCATCTTACAGCTTGAAGTTCAGCAACCAGGGACGTCAGGGCAGGACCTCAGGCAAAGCAGGATGCTGAGGACAGGTACTGATACAGAGGCCATGAAGGAATGCTGCTAGTTGGCTTGCTCCTCATGGCTTGATCAGTCTATCTTACATCATCCATAAACTACCTTCCCGGGTACACTGCCCACAATGGCCTGGGCCCTCATCTGTCAATCATCAATCAAGAAAATGTGTTCCAGGCTTGCTCACAGGCCAATCTGGTGAACATACTTTCTCAACTGAGGTTCCTCTTCCCAAATGACTAGTTAGTGGGCAAAGTGCTTTTTAAATAAATAACTAAAGTAAAAGCATGTCTCATAGTTTTGAAAAAATAGCCATTTATTTAGACTGAAGCTAGGTAAACAAATGCTGTAGTATCCATATAACAGAAACGAGGACTGATGTTTCTTGCAATTTATGGACAAACAAGAAATTTCAACATATAAATTTTAAAATACGGACATTCCAGAAGGATCAGTTTGGGGTAAGAAATATGACAAAAATGATTTATTCATGTTCTTCAAACCTCTTAATTTATGAGATATGATCACAAGATCAGTGTGGTTTATTCTAAAGACTCTGTAGATTAGCCTCCCTGCTATAAAATGTATTTTTTAAAAAAGATTTATTGATCACACAAAGGGTGATTACATTTATAACACAATTTTAAGTCAAGATTACTAGTACTAAACATTTATTAAAGTTTATTATTATGTGAGCCATACAAATATTTACTGAGAAGGTAATTAAAGATGGATTCTTATAAAACAACACTGCCCTGTAAGCTTCAGAAACACAGAATATACATAACCATTAACTTTGAAAAGTCATTATTTTGAAATTCATCGTCTTGAGATCAGTATGTTCAAACGATGAAAATGGTGAAGCAAATACTACAGTTCTTACAGGAGCAAAGGAAGGACTTTACCTTTTGGGGGATTGAAAGAAAAGTAGGTAAAGAATGGATCTGAACTAAGTTGATGTGGGAAGTCCTTCAGTATATGTGCTTTTATTGGTTACTGAATAAAGAAACTGCTTTGAGCCTATAGCAGAGCAGAACAGAGCTAGGCGGGGAAAACTAAACTGAATGCTGGGAAGAAGGCAGAATCAGGGAGAAGCCATGAAGCCCCACCAGAGACAGACACCAGATAGAACCTTGCCAGTAAGCCACAGCCATGGCTTAATATACAGATTAAAAGAAATGGGTTAATTTAAGATGTAAGAACAAGAAGCTAGAGCTAATAGGCCAAGCAGTGGTTTAATTAATACAGTTTCTGTGTAGTTATTTTGGGGCTGAGCAGCCAGGAACAATCACCCTCCTACTACACCAAGTCCCAAAGGTGAAGTGGTGTCAGTAGCATAGTAGTCGGATAGCATGAGCAAGGCCAGAAAGTCAGAGCACAACAGTGTGAACTCAAGCTATAAGGAACAGCTAACGGGTTTTAGAGATATGCTAGCCTGTAGGGGACGGGAGAAAATGCAACAGGACACAGGTGAGGTTGTTCTTCCTGTGTCTCAGTTGTTGCACTAAAGAGCATATTTCATTACTGGGTTATTGCTGCTATTGTCACTGTTACCCTCTAAGCTAAGCGGAGTCTCTGAAGAAATATGGAGATGTAAAGCATCTTTTAGGAAACAGATATTACCACACACTGTTCTGTTTATTTTCTCCTCAAACAAATAAGGAACATCTAAAATATATTGTAGGAATTAATGCAGTTTTCAAGCTGGTATCTCGTTGTGGACTGCTTCAAAATTTGCTAAACAATTTTGGTGATAACTTTTAAATAAAACGAGGAAATATTTTTAGATTGTATAAAGGAAATACTTTTCAGTACAATATTATTTTAATAACAAACTTTATTTTGCTCAATATGCACTCTAAATAGTTTATTAAGCATATTCTAAAAATAGAAACCACAGCTGTAGCAATAGCCCAGAAGCTACAGTGCTTGCCACACTGCCAGGTAGACCAGCATTCAATCACTACACCCAAGTAAAAGACTTGTGAAGCCAGAGACAGGCAAGTTCATAAGGCTCCCTGGACAGACACCTGACCTAGCCCATTGGTGAGCTCCAGGCTCCAGTAGGAGACCTGTTTTAAATTATAGCGCCACAACTGATCAAAACACTCAGACTGTGCTCAGTCCCACCAATAAATCTATTACACACCCCCTATGGCCAAGGGTCATGGAACATCCTCGAAATATTGTCAGGGTCAGAGGACCAAGACAGGATGTCTGCTGTACGACAATTTCTTCTATACATGATATGGAAGATGCACCCAGGAAATTTCAACAGTTGCTAAACAAGATCTCAATAATGACTACACAAGTTGATATGCCATGTGGATGGGGAAATTTTCACTCCTAACAATTCCCAGCAGCAGAGAGTGAGAGCATCTGTCTTCTCCAGGAATGAGATGGCTGATAGGTTAGCTGACCTCAAGTGGTCATCCTTAAACACAGGAGCAACGTGGAATGAACTCCACAGGTTGTATTGATAACACACACACACACATATATATATATATAATTATAATTTAAAATCAGGAGGACATCAATTTGAGAGTGGGAGTGACACCAGAGGAACTAGATGGAGGAAGTGATGTGAATACAGCAGTCACATATGAAATTCTCTAAAAAAGAGCATAGAAAATAATTATAGACTAACCTTAAGAAAATTCCATTAAAGAAGAAAACAGAAACATGCACACACACACACACACACACACACACACACACACACACACACACACACACACGGCTCCTGATGATGAAGAATTGAGGCTGACACTTGTCTATGGACATGTGCCCACACAAGCTGGGGAACCTTGGTCACTGGCACTCATGGGTACATCCTCCCACACATGGATAAATAGAAAACACTTTGAGTTTACATGTCTACCTTCGAGACATATGTGTAATTTTACCAGCAAAAGTTTGAAATTCAGAGAGGAAACTTACGAATTTGTAGGCAGTCCGTACAGCAGGGGTGGCTTTGGTCACTGCTGTGTTGAACAATGCACCTCCTTTCTGAAAGAAGAGAAATGTTTTTAAGGACTTGTGTGAAAAGCATTGCCAGGAGTACAGAAAAATACTTGTAAGTTGAAGATTTACAATTATTCCCAGTCCTTTTAAGAGTTTGTATTTTATACTAATTTAAAACAGGGTCTAAATATTCTACTGTGTTCTTTTAGTTGGTGTAAAGCATCAGTTAAGGGTCAGGTCATTTTATCTCTGAAGTATGGCTAGAAGAGTAATGTGGACAATACTGAATATAGATTTAAAGTTTCCCAGTAAAAAGAATATCATGTTTATCAGCTGGTTTGATGTTGGGCAATAAAGAGTTTTCCTGTTTAAAAAACATAAAAGAAAACTATGTTATCCAATAAACCTCATCCAATCCTGCCACTGCACCTTAGTCCTCTGTCTACTTTCTGTTGTTGTGACACAGACAAATACCGACTTCTAGAGGACAGGATTTATTACGTCATACAGGCTGGAGTCCATCATCAAAGGAAGCCAGGATAGGAGCTCAAGCAGGAACCTGAGGGGAGGAAGCTGCTCACTGGCTCCCTCCCAAGTTCATATTCAGCTGCCTTCTTAAACCTCCCAAGATCACAGTGCCCAGGGTGACACTGCCAACAGTAGGCTGGTACATCACTCCCTAATCGAGAAAGTGTCAGACACACGTGGCCAATATAAAAGTGGCCTTTGCTCCATTGAGGTTCCCTCCTCCCAGGTGTGTCACGCTTTTAGAAACTAGCCAGTACACTGGTGTTTGGAAGGGTAATACAAAAAGAAAGGCAGATGTAGGCTTTAAATAAACTATCATTTTATTTATCTGAACTAAATATTTTCATTTTAAAATTTCCTTTATAATTATCAATAAACTACAAACAAAAAATATGCTCAAAGTATGATAAAATATACACATTTCAAATTGAATGGTGTTAAGTGTAGCCAGAGTACTTTCTCTGAACTTTTCTCTACACTTTCTAGAGGAAAAAAACCGATATAACCAAAGGCTGATGCTTACCTTGACTGTATGCACCCACTGTTGGTACGACCTCGGGCTCCCTAGAACATATAAAGTTAGATGCCAGGAATCATTGCTAAAACATGAACCTAGAAAGCAGAGCTGGTGCAGCTGGCCCTGCTGTGAAGGCAGCATGGGGTTCTAGGACTGAGTGGGCAGTAACAGAGCAGTCAGACTCACACTACACAAGCACTGTTCCTAATTCACACTTGAAGCTGAGGCTTTGCTATATTCCCTCATTTTTATATTTGCTTTTTGACGGAAAATAGAACCTTAAAATTTAGCATGTCTATACTTTTAAAAATATTTTTTTTAATGTTTTATGTCCATTGTTTTAAAATATATATTTTATACAGTTAGGTACACTTAAAACATTTCAAATGTGAAGAAGAATGAAGAAAAAACTGTGAAATGTAGAAAATTAGGACAAAAAATGTTTTGTATTTTTTAAATAGCAATGTACACTAAAGGCACTTGTATTTCAACATAACTAAATAGCACTTTTATTTTCAAAAATATTCTCTAACTTTATAAAGGAAAAAAATTACTAGAAGAAAATATGAAGAGAGCAAACATCATAATTATGACAAACTTGACCTGACAGAATTACTTCCGACAAAATTTGATAATTCAGGCTGGGAAATACTCCAGTGGGCAAAATACCTGCTGTGCAAACACAAGGACCCGAGTTTGATCCAAATACAAAAAGCCAGGTGTGGTGGCACACACATAACCCTAGTGCTGGGGTGGTAGACACAGGCACATGCCTCTGCAAGACCCAGGCCACTTAACAGTACAGGGTGAGTGACAGATAACGCACAAGAATGTTCTTCGGTTTCCTCATCCACGTGTGTGGGACCCACCCAGGCCACAGAGATACACAAACACGCACCCAAACTCTGTCAATAAACATATTTGCTTGTGTATAACATTAATCATTTGGTCAATGAGGTGAAATTATTAGTCAGAAGAGAAACACATATCTGGCATAGGAGAGATGGCTGAGCAGTTAATAATGCATGATTCTTGCAGAGGACCCAGGTCAATTCCCAGTACCCACATGGACTCACAGCTGTCTATACTCTAGATCCAGGGGTCTGGCACCCTCTTCTGTCCTCTACAGGCATCAAGCATGAATGTGGTGCACAGAAACATATGCAGTCAAAACACTCATACAAATAAGTACAAATAAATTAGTTACCCCCCAAAAAACTTAGAAATACACACCTGAAAGTCTTTCAAACCAACTGACTACAGTTAGATTTTTAACTACCTTCTTAATTTTTACAAATTTTTACAACTCTTAAATTTTACAATCTCAAAAATTATAAGGGTAAAAGTCATTATTAAAAATAAAGTAGCTACTCAGTCACTCTTGCACAAAGGACCCTCAAGATACAATGTGTTCTTTTTATATGCTTTAAAAAGAAAATACACCAAGGGCTAGAGAGATATTAAAGGCACCCATCTGGTTATAACTAAGACTGAAGAGCCAAGTGATATGGGAATGTCATATATCCGTTGCTTTCATTAATTAATTAATAAAGAAACTACTTGGCCTGATAGGTTAGAACATAGGTGGGTGGAGTAAACAGAACAGAATGCTGGGAGGAAGAGGAAGTGAGCTCAGATGCCATGCCTCTCTCTCCAGGGCAGACACGATGGAGCAAGCCGCCAGGTAAGACATGCTGAATCTTTCCCCGTAAGACTGGTGCTACACAGATTATTAGAAATGGGCTAGTCAAAATATGAGAATTAGCCAGTTAGAGGCTAGAGCTAGTGGGCCAAGCAGTGTTTAAAAGAATACAATTTGTGTGTTGTTATTTAGGGGCATAAGCTAGCCAGGTGGCCGGGAGCTGGGTGGCAGGAATGCAGCCCGCAGCTCCCTCAACAGCCAAGTTTGATCCCCAGAGTTTGATTCAGTTGGTGAGAACTGAATCCTGCAAGTTGTCCTCTGACCTACACATATGCATGCACACACATGCACAACTAATAAATAAATGTAAAAATTGCCCTCATCTTACTGCTATGTTCAGCAGTGCTAGAACAGCTGCAACCTGCCTGCTGTAGTGGGCATCAGCTCAAAGTTGGGTAGTGTGATCTCAGCCTGGGGGTTTCTTGCTATTTTTGAAGCATTAACAAAAAATGAACACTGAAAAGTGCCTGATTCTGGATGAATTTTTTTCATCAAATCTCTCCCCAACTTAAAAGAAAAATCAAGAATGAACTTTTAATTGTTTTTTATTATAAATTGTTATAAAGAGCTCTTGCTGCATTTGTTCCTTTTTATTGAGAAGACAATCCAGGTCACACAATAGCATGGCTTGACCCCACAGATTCAGATATATATTTCCCTTGTAAAATGGTGAAAAACTTTCAAGTTATCCTGACTATTTTTTAAATAAATTTTAATTTGTTAGCAATAAAAGCATATCTTTCATCCAGATTATCTTTACTTTTTTTTTTTAACTTTTGAAACAGGGCCTCATTTAGCCCAAACTGATCTCAAATTCTTTATAAACTGAGAAGGGCCTTTGGCTCCCAATCCTCCTGCGTCCATCTTCCAAGTGGAATCACAGGTGTGTACCATAGTCTCATTAGTTCATATATCCTCACAAATGACTGCGTGGATATTCATTTAGGACTTGTACATTATTTACAATTGTAATATATGGTGTTTATTTTCCCAAAATGAATTTTAAAAAGTAGAAGAAAAACAGAATAGTATGATAACAACTTAAGATTCAAGAGTAATTGCCAACCAAGAAAAAGGTACTAATGTATCAGCTACAAAGAAAACAGCTGTGGTAAAACCTCATAGCAGTTATAGGAGAAATTAAATGTCTTCCTTAAAATTCTAAGGTTACGTTCACATTCAGCTCTTTATAGGTTGTGAGATGTTTTCATCTACTGTATATCGTCTGAGCTGCATTTCCTTACTGTAAAGCATGCGAAACAGGCAGTCCCATGAGAACGATGGCATCTCTGGTTGTGGCCTGGACCTCTAGAGTGCAGGGCTACCCCATGGAAGATACCACTGGGACTAGTTCCATTAGCAACCAACAAAATTAAGAATCAGGTATTTTAAAACCTGGTTCGTTGTTTCTTCAACTTTGAAACACTGCATCAAGGATTGCTTAATAACAAACAGAACAGACCACTTAAACAGCAGCTCCCTCTGTCTGGTTTCAAGTGATGACTACCTTCTAAAGAAAAGGGGTGCTGAAAGCCGGGACTGTGTAAAGAACACAAGTCAGGAAAGAAGTAAGGGCTGGATTGGTGGACCTCAGGCAGCAAGGAGAGGGACAAGAGAAGGAAGGAGCTAGAAAGGTTAGGGGGGGAGGTGAACTGGAGAGCAGGACAGGAGGAGCATGGGGAGGGCAACTAACAAGACTGTGGCTGGGAATGCCACATGAAACCTTCTACCATAAATGAGTCCTAAAATATACTTAAACAGAAAAGTTTAAGTAGAGTTGCTTTATAAAGGGGCACAACATCTTTACTAAACAACACCAAATAAAAAGAAAAAAACAAACAAGTTCTATTGTTTATCTTTGCTATTTGAAATCTCAATGAATCAAGCATTTTTTTTCTAAGAACAATATCTAGGTATTTCTAAGGCAATTTAAAATACAAACGAAAATAACACTTGACTGATATTTTTATTTTTAAAAATACTTTCACATTCACTCAAATTAATAACTATAAGAAATGGATTTTCCTTTCAATAAGCATTGCTCCCTCAGATAGAAAGTAGGAGCTGGAAATCATTTTAATAATAATAAAAAAATAAACAACCTGAATTAAGTAGATCACTAAGTCAGATGCTGACCAAGATCATATCCTCCTGTCCATATTTAAGCACTATGGATTTTAGTTAAAATAATATTAACAATAAAATGAATTAATTATTCTTTTATCTCTCCTTTATTTCTACAGGTTCTGGACTAGCAGATATGACTACAGAAGTTAAGTGTACAAAGGGATCACAGCTCTACCCCATTACTGTCACAAGATGTCATCCTCAATTCTACAAAAGCTGCCAGCCTCACGGGTCATAAAGATAATGAGGCAGCAGCTATGTAAATACTGAGTGGATGCCTCAAGCAATTTGTCCATAAGCTGACAATATTTTGCTTGTCTGAGTTGAATAGTGAAAAAGCATCATTTTAACACAAAAGTTCCATTGAAGCTAAATTTCTGCCCATGAGCTGAGAAGTGGGAGCTGAAAGAATCCACAGTCAGCTCTTGCTGAGTCAGTGGATCCCAGGGGCTGTACTTCTGCCAGGTGAAATTCTATGGCCACCAAGCTCATTTGCTCTCTTCTAAATGAACAAATTCTCTTCAACCATCTATTTCTATGTTTTATAGCTGACAATAAGGATCATAAAAGCATAAAGTTAAGGTGTAAAACCTGAAGCTATGTACATATTATTTTTTATCTTTTCAAATCTAGTAACTATTTATTCAAACATAGACTAAAAACCTGGCTATCAAAGCAAACCAACAAAGAGGTCAAAACAAACAGCAAGCCAGAGAGAGAAGATGTGGTATTCAAGTGGGTCTCACAGATAATACAGAGCAGTGTACTCAGCAATCCTGCTTGGAAGAATCACTGAGACACTGGGGGACTCCAGGAAAGTCCTCTGATGCTGGACTACACAGTACATCTACCGACAACATGTCAACACATAAATCATTCCTTGCCTAGATTATGGCAAGACTGGATATTTTCACTGGGAGGCCACTCTATGTTTGGAATGGTAAACGTAGAACTCTGCAGACTAGAACTGGCAGTGATTCCCACACAGCACTTGCGGAAACAGGAAGTAAGCACGAGGCAGTCCAGTGCTTTCCCTCCACCACCACAGAGCTCTACCCTACCAGTCTCAGGTCCAAGCCCAGACATAGCCACAGCCACCCCCACCACCATTAGAGAAACTACTACTAGTAGGACAGGGGAAAGGATGGAAATTAATTGGAATTCTGTTGTTTATTCTCAATAATACTAAGAGATTATTATAGTCAATAACTACCAAGTTATGAGGTAACCTTCCTGTCTTGATCATGAAAATAAGCCCATAGCACAGCTCATATAAGACAAAAATCATACATAAAACATTGTGTGTTTAGGAGGAAAACGATTGTTTATAAAAATACATATATCAGAGATACACACAAAGATCAGATGTTGTCTAGAAAATGGATAATCATACTCAAAATTGTCTTTACCTCCAGAGAAGCCGCCCGAAGTGATCTCTTCTTCGAATATATCGGAGAAACCCCTTCCTGCATTAAGCTTTGCCAGTCGACCATCAATAAACTGAAATATAAAAGTTTCAAATGTTAATTTTTTCATTATAATATTAAAAATTACTTATAAATACAGAAAAGTGAGGGATATGGATATGATAAAAATAAGGATGTAAATAACAATCAAAGGAATCATAATATTGACAATTTACATTAAAGAAAACCATATAATAATGTAATTCTGTGTATAGATACACATATACAGTTTTAATGAACTTTTCTCATTTGGGCTGACAATGTTCCCTCCAAGAACCAAAGACCACATAACAAAAAACTACAATACTAGTCATGAGAAGTCATCTTTTGAGTTGTTGACCAGGGCTGTGCAAGAGACTCTTAGAACATACAGCCTAGTAAAACTGCCTTCCATTGCCTCCATAGGTGGAAGGTAAGTCCTTATTGCTGAAAACACCATACACTTCAGACACAGGGCAAGGGGATCCCTGAGGTGGAACCGACCTGAATTCCTCTTCCCTCTCATAGTATCAGAGGGTACCATATAAACTTCCAGAGGAGAGAGATAACCAACATTCCGCCCAGCTATGATGCATATGAACCACATTAACAACCAGCAAGGCATAAGGGTGCACTAATGGCACACATACTATGTAAATAACAGCTCTCTAACTGTTAAGATCCACTCAATAGAAGGGAAACCTTGCCTAGTACTGGAAACCTAGCCAACTACCAGTGCTAGTAAAGTCATGGATATTGGAGGAGACTCTACAACCACTAATTTACTAAACCAACATGATTCTAACAATAGTCTATAAACATTTGCCCTTATGCCCACAAATAAGCATACTTCTCCTCACTAAGGAAACTTCCCTTTGCAACAGATGGAGACCACTAAAAAAACTACAACCAAATAAAATGAAGAGTTCTGGAGACCAGTTCCAACAGATACATCTTACAAAACAAGTCCCACACCTAAGGCTCACATAATGTACAGAAGATGGGGATGGAAAGGTTTACAAGCCAGAGGATCAGTAAATTTTCTGTGAGACTGTGTCTCTTAGTAATATTAAAAGGTACACCCATAAACTCTCACAAACATGACTGCCCAAATATAAGCTGAACAAAAACAGTAAGAATGGACATGCCATAGCAGGTGGGAAAAAAAAAAAAAACAAGAAGTCCCACTCTACACAAAGAACTACAGACAATGAAGTAAAGCTGGGAGTAGGGAAGGTGGTCTTCTCAAGGGATGAGTACACCAATTCTTTGTTCAGTGCCAAAAGATCAACCCTGAAAACATTCTGTGATGACCTGTCACTACCTGTACCCACCCTCATAGACTCCTACGTTTGAATGATTGGCCTATAGAGAGTAGTAGCACTATTAGGAGGTGTAGCCTTGTTGGAAGAGGTGTGTCACTATGGGGGTGTGCCTTGAGGTCTCATATGCTAAAGCTACACCCAGGATGGGACACAGTGCACTTCCTATTACCTGTGAATCAAGATGTAAAACTCTCAGTTACTTCTTCAGCACATGTCTGCCTACATGTCACGATGAAGATAATGGACTAAATTTCTGAAACTGTAAGTCAGCCCCAATTAAATGTTTTCCTTTATGAAAGTCGCTGTGCCATGGTGTCTCTTCACAGCAACAGAAACCCTAACTAATACCCATTCATAAGTAACATTATCAAGACTTATATTTAGGTTTATGTATATATGTATAGGCCATGAATTGGAAGTAAAGTGGGTAAGGGTGTATGGGGGGGTTGGAAGGAGAAAAGGGAAAGGAGAAATAGAATTATAATACAATCTCAAAATAAAAAATTTTTAAGTGTTACTCATAAAAATGCTAACAGCATATTTTAACACAGAAATATGCATATACAAGTCATACACATACACACACAGACACACACAAGAATATTCTCAAGCAATACAAAGAGTAAGCACTTGGTGAAGAGCCATTTATTAGTTCAGTCACACGTGCTTAGCTCAGGTTCTCACTGTCCTAAAGCCAAGTGCAGCAGTGGACAAATGCTTGGTACAGTCAGTATCCCCTAATATTACCCTGGTAATATCAATATTCACCAAAAAACATTCCTTGTCTAAATTATGGGGCCCTTAACTATAACCAAGTACCAAGAAATTCTAACCATTCAATAATAAAACAAATACAGTTTTGGTGACACACAGTATAACTGTGGCTGAAGGATTAGATTTAGGATTATTAGCTTAAATATCAAGGAAAGCACACAATGCTATGATTTGTTTAAGGTCCCATTAAATAATGTTTTCAGTGTTCTTAAAGAAGAGACTGGAGTGAGAAGTGCAACTTCCATAGGCCCTGCACAACCTTTTCAAGATGCAACTGCCCTAGACAGTGCACATCTGTTCAAGTGAGGGCAATAAATATATGAAGGCCTTCAAGTATTGACAGTATTGAAAACAATACAGATATTGATAGATGACCAGAGCAGGGGAATATCAATAACATATATTAAATACACACACACACATACAGTTGTCCCTTGTTTCATTCTGCTTGTTTATTTATAGTTTGTCGTGCTAATAATGACAGTGAAAGGTCTCTAAGGCTGTCTTGTATCTTTCAGGCAAGGACATATCATGAAATATTTTAGTTGTTTTTTTGAAGATGTAAATAGTAATAGTGAGCTTTAATATTTATTCCAAAGTTAACTCTCACTGCAATTTTAATCCCAGAAATTAAAATTTGTTTGTTTTGTTTTTTCAAGACAGGGTTTCTCTGTGTAGCCCTGACTGTCCTGAAGCTCAATTTGTAGACCAGGCTGACCTCAAACTAACAGAGATCTACTTGCCTCTGCCTCCTGAGTGCTGGAACTAAGGGCGTACACCACCACCTCCTATAGAAATTTAAATTTTAACTGAATTAAAATTACATAACCTGACTTTAAAAAATAATCTCACAAGGTGCACAATTATTCTATTTGTAGAGATAAAACAGGAACTCCATTGAGAGGAGCTGCACAGAGCCATGCAGCATTCTCCAGGCAATAGTTCCCAGTAATACTTCAGGTTTCCCAGCTATAATATACAACTTTCAAGAAAAACTTTTATAGAGAAATTAAGCAACAATGGCAAATAAGTTAATGTATGACGTTAAAAATGAAGTGTAGCCATTTTTATCATACAATTTTTTTTAAATTTCTGATTTTTTTATTTATTTGTTTATTATATATACACTTTCCAGGAGACAGCGCCAGATCTCATTACAGATGGTTGTGAGCCACCATGTGGTTGCTGGGAATTGAACTCAGGACCTCTGGAAGAGCAGCCAGTGCTCTTAACCTCTGAGCCATCTCTCCAGCCCCATACAATTGTTTTTATCACAAGTGTGAGGTGATATGTCCAAACAGACACAGCCTAAAATGGTAGTTTTGGCTTTTTTATATCCTGAGTTATTCTTAAAATCTTCTAATACTTTGAAACAGAGACCATAAAAGATTACCCATTTTATACCTTCATAAGCAGAGCATGCAGAAGGTTTCCTGTGGTGTAGATGCACAGAGTGGGCATGTGAAAGCCAGCATCAGAACTCTGCTGCAGAAGCAGCTTTATAATCCTTGGCTACTTTTTAACCACTAAGATTCTCCTTTTCCAACAATTAAACATCACTAACTTTTGTGAGGGTTAACTAACATAGTACTCAGGAAAAATACTAAGTAATAAAGTTTTTTCTCCCTATTACCAGTGTGTTTCCAAAGTTAATCAACTGTGGGCTTCCTGAGAAACAGGCTATTGTGTTGCCCATGGATGCATCTTCAGTACCAGAGTATTGCAAAACCGCCTGACATACAGTTATAATTATGCTTTAGTTTGCTGACAGTTGGAAAAACATAGTGCCTTGCTCTGCTACTGAGCTATGGAAATAGATCCAGACACATAGTTTAAATGGAATAAAGCTGAAGGGATAAAGAATATTCAAAAATGTTAAAGGTCATATATTTTTACTTGGCTTTAAAGGTCCATAATTACATCTATGTGGAGAATCAACATTTTATCTTTGGATCAAAGTCAGTAATATAATGTCGATGTCTTCACTGTATACAAAAGTGATTAATTTGAAAATAAGACAGTTAATGAAGCATTTAAATTTTCACTTGTATGTGTTTTAACACAGAAGTATAAATCAAATTTAAGTGATATAAATCCAGAGACTAAGAATCGTCTTTTAAAGTATAGGGTGAAAGGAAAGCGATAAATTTAAAGTAATATATTACTGGCAGGGAGAATCCACTAAGGCATCCTTTTAAAGGAATTAATTTGTTCTAAAAGATTAAAAGTATAAGACTTTTAAAAAGGCTTTTCCTCTTTGTTTATGGGACAGAATCCATTTATTTTATTAAATGAGTGGAATAGTTTGAGTCAAAGAGAGAGAAAGAGAGAGAGAGAGAGAGAGAGAGAGAGAGAGAGAGAGAGAGAGAGAGAGAGAGAGAGAGAGAGAGAATCCCAAAAGTATCTAGGGATTGTGAACTTCTGGGCATGAGTACCTAGTTTATGTAAGTAAACTGGTGGGTTAAGCCAGCAGAAATGAATGACTTGGTACAATGTCATGTGCTATCACTGGCTGTGCAAACATCCTGCCATCGACAATCCAACACTTTTCTAAGTACAGAGTAGGCATTACACACACACACACACACACACACACACACACACACTAAATCCAGATACACAGATGCTGGCAGCAGGCGCGGGTGAGTGTGGTATTAAGGGAGAGGAGCGCTCAATGCCACCGTTGCCCAGACTCCTTTATTAATGTGTATTTCAATAGCAGCTCTTCCTTCTTCCTGACGATGTGGCTCGTGGTCACCCCACTGGGCTATCTCTACACATTCACAAGGCAAGAGAAGGAACAGTTTTAGGTTCTGCTGCATACAATTATGAACTTAAAGAAAAGAAAACGAACCGATCTGTTGAAAAGATGGGTGCATAATCCATTGTTTGAGTTACATTAATAGTTCATTTAGCAAACATGTATTTCCAGATCACTGGAAGACAGTTTTGAGAG